GGTCACATGATTTTTTTTCATCTAAAACATCATTCATTCATACTTTATAATACAAAGATCTTATACAAGGGTGGGATGCTTGGTGGGATGCGTTGTTAATACACCAAACCGGCAAAACCTAGTCCGCTGGAGCCAAAAGCCTTAAAGGAAACCAGAACCCAAGCTAAATTCTATAAAAACGACAAACAAGGTAAAGCACTAAAAGAACCCAAACTCAAAGCTATAAACAAAGAACAAAAGAAGATCAAACAAGCAATCCCATAGAAGCAGTTGGATCCGATGCGCCAAAGAACGAGAGACGAGCTGAAACCAAACTCGTCCAAACTCAAAAGGTAATAGCAACACCGGGAGAAAAAGAAGTTTGACCCCAATAGTTCAAAGCAGAAGCACTAACATCATCACCGCCCCTCCAAAGAAACTATCCAAAATGAATCGATACAAGCTCAAGAAAGTGAACCTTGACATCTACAAAGAGATACGTCAAAGAGGACCACCAACACTTTACCACGGGCCTCGCCCGCCAACTTCAGCCATCTACAGACACAAAGAAGACCACGTCCACGTAAGATCAAGGCTGAAGATCTACACCACTGTACATACTTGATTCAAACCCCAAACCCAAAGGATCCAAAGGGAAGAACTAGTAGATGCTCATCAACAATGCACCATCCAATTGACGAACCCAAAGTAGAAACCTAAACCAAACCAAAATGTATTCTCCCCAGAAGGACGAAACCACGCATCAGAGCAAGGAGACCAGAAACTTGCACCTAGTAGGCCAAATCCATACGAATAAAACTCATCCCCACTAACAAGAACCAAGCTAACCGAAATAACAAGGACCCTACAATTGAACCAAGCTAAAACCGATGGAACCAAATAGACAAGACAACCAAGCAAAGAGGCTAAGACCGCAAATTACTGACCAAAATCGATAACCCAGAACCTTAACCCAAACACAAGATCAAAGTTTGAACTACAAACTTACGACCACAGCCTCGAAGGAGAGACGGAGAGAGGAACATGGCCACCCAGAACCAAACCCAAACCGACCCTCTCCGAACACGACCAAGCAAGATCCCAGGTCTGAGCAGAGGGAGAAAAACACGAGCCCCAACCCCCGAAAGTGTCGCAACTCATCGACCCCCTACACCCACGACACCGCCGAGTCCACCCAACCCACCAAAGCCAAGTCAGAAGTCGAAGAACCATCTCTTAATAGAAGCTCCAATTGCAGCGAAGACCCTAAGCACAACGAAATCAAAGCCTAAAACAAAGGGATCCAGCACCGGCGCTACGAAAGTCGCCGATCACCGGACCAAACGGAGCAAAATTTGTCGGGGTTACTGTAGCAGTCACGGATACTGTAGCAATAGCCTTCTCAGATCTAGAGACAATTTTAACTATATTCAAATTTTCACAATTTGGTCACATGGTTAATACTTATAAATTATGATAAATACAAAAGTTATATAATTTGATGGACTTTTTTTAATTATTAATCCGTAAAATGATGAACCGTTAAATAATATGTGAATTCAGCTAGATTGATTAGTCTTGTAAAATTGGAGTAGTAGTTTATATCAAACACTACAAATTTGCTAGTAGTCATTACCAAACCGAATACCCAAATGGTCATATCTAAGCTTTGGCTAAAAAAAGCTACGAGCAAATCTCCTCCGGCTCAAACCGTCCATTTGGATTATGTTATACTACCAAACAAAAGTTTTACTATTTACAAAATTAGAAGAAGGAAAATTGCAACTTTGTGATCGATCATACCCATTTTTCACCTAAATAGTTCGTTTTTTAAATTTGTGCTTATATTTTCCCATTAGTTAAAAAGTACCCAACTTTGAAGAAATTGTGTTCCGGTGATTGTGGCGCCTCCGATGAAGCGTCATTTCAGTCAACAAGCCTCCTCTCTATGTCTCACGCCGTCAATTTCATCTTCTTCTTCTCCGACGAAACAATCTCGGATCCTGGAGCTCTGTAAATCGGGTCGGCTCACGGACGCCATTCGGATCTTAAACTCAACGGACTCGTCTGAAATCTCTGCGAAGCCGAATCTCTACGCGCCTCTTCTTCAAACATGCACCAAAGTCTTCTCCTTTATCCACGGACTTCAGTTTCACGCCCATGTCGTTAAATCAGGTCTGGAAACGGACCGGTACGTTGGGAACAGCTTGCTCTCACTGTACTTCAAGCTAGGACCTGATATGAGAGAGACCCGGAGAGTTTTCGATGGAATGTTCGTCAAAGACGCGATTTCGTGGACTTCGATGATGTCTGGATACGTTGGAAGTAAAGAACACGTTAAGGCGCTTGAGATGTTTGTGGAGATGGTGAGTTTTGGTTTGGAGCCGAACGCTTTCACGTTGTCTTCGGCGGTTAAAGCTTGCTCTGAGCTCGGAGATGTTTGGCTAGGGAGGTGCTTCCATGGTGTTGTTATTACTCGTGGGTTTGAGTGGAACCATGTTATCTCTAGCACATTAGCGTATATGTATGGTGTGAATCGAGAACCAGTGGATGCACGCCGGGTGTTCGATGAAATGCCTGAAGCAGATGTTATTTGTTGGACTGCTGTACTCTCTGCGTTTTCAAAGAATGACTTGTACGAGGAAGCTTTGGAACTTTTTTACGCGATGCATAGGGGTAAAGGGTTGGTGCCTGATGGGTCTACATTTGGGACGGTTTTGACGGCTTGTGGTAATCTGAGGAGGTTGAAGCAAGGGAAAGAGATTCATGGGAAGCTTATTACAAATGGGATAGCCAGCAATGTGATTCTTGAGAGTAGTCTTTTAGATATGTATGGTAAATGCGGATCGGTACGGGAAGCTAGGCAAGTGTTCAATGGGATGTCTAAGAAGAACACCGTCTCTTGGTCTGCCTTACTCGGAGGATACTGTCAGAATGGACAGCATGGGAAAGTGATTGAGATGTTCAGGGAAATGGAAGAGAAAGATCTCTACTGTTTTGGGACTGTTCTTAAGGCATGTGCTGGTTTGGCGGCAGTAAGACTTGGGAAAGAGGTTCATGGCCAGTATGTCCGAAGAGGATGTCGTGATAATGTGATTGTGGAATCGGCTTTAGTTAACCTGTATGGGAAATCGGGGTGCATAGATTCTGCTACTCGTGTGTACTTGAAGATGTCAATTAGAAATATGATAACATGGAACGCAATGCTTTCTGCGCTGGCTCAGAATGGAAGAGGTGAAGAAGCTGTTAGTTTCTTCAATGATATGGTTAAAAGGGGGGTAAAGCCTGACTACATCAGTTTTATTGCGGTTCTCACCGCCTGTGGTCATACGGGATTAGTTGACGAGGGACGCTATTACTTTGCATTGATGGCTGAGAATTATGGGATTAAACCAGGTACTGAGCATTACAGTTGCATGATTGACCTTCTAGGCCGTGCAGGTTTGTTTGAAGAAGCCGAGAGTCTCTTGGAGAGAGCAGAGCGTAGAAATGATGCGTCTCTGTGGGGAGTTCTGCTTGGACCTTGTGCTGCAAATCCAGATGCCTCTGGTATTGCAGAGCGGATTGCAAAGAGAATGATGAAGTTGGAACCAAAGTACCACATGAGTTATGTGCTTCTTAGTAACATGTACAATGCGATAGGTCGCCATGGTGATGCCCTCAACATTCGTAGGTTAATGGTGAGAAGAGGAGTAGCAAAGACCATTGGACAGAGTTGGATTGATGCTCATTAAAAAGCTGCAAAGTTTCCTGTCCCCTCTAGGGATCTTGCTTTAGCATGTATGAAGAAATGGTTTTGACAACTTGAAACCAAATAATTTTGCCTCGAGGTCTCCATCTACTCGATTTAGTCTTTACAAAGTAATTCAAACAAAAATTTGCCAGCCTAAACTTTGCATAGAAAAGGGGTTTGTATGTTGTGTGGAGGATTCAAGATTTAACCTCAAGCCACCATTGATGCATTTTCCAGTGAAGCGTGTTGTCTTCATAGTGCACGCATCAATGTGGAATGTGTAGCTTCGCGCTTCATCTCTGCAGCTTTGCCACTCCCTCGGAAGTATGCATATACTTGCTGTAAATCAAATATTGCACTTCATGGGTTAGAAAAATGAACGGACGGATACAGTGTTGAGAAATTCTGGAGTATGAAGAAGTTCAGAAACCTGAATGACCCAGATATTGAGAAGTGTTTCGATGCAGAAGAACCCCGCACCAATGAAATACATTATCTGTGAAGGAGAAAAAAAGAAGAAAATTTGGTAAGACTGTCACAAGCCGAAGTCAAGTATTCGTAAATCGGCAGAAAAGGTACTTACACCAACTGCGGCATTAGTAGTTAGAAGCTCAAGTGCTGGCAAGAAACCTCTGTCCACAAAACCAACAATACATGGAATCAGATGGAGTTTGTTCAAGATTTGAAAGGTTTTAACATCTTCAACAAAAGACGAATCGTTAAAGAAAGTAGAAGAAAAAGATTGATTCTGATGCTTTCATATAGAAGAAAAGTCTTACGTGAGAGACTTTCCTTGAAAGATGACTGGTGGAGCAACTGCAGCAAAGCCGCAAAACGCAATGTGAAACTGAAAAGTGCAAGAGAGGGTAAAAAGCTTAGTTGTATCCTTTCATGGCTTCCTGAAAAAACTTTGACGCAGAGGAATGCGATTTATCTTACCACATAAAACAAGAAAAAAGTTCCAAACTTGAGGGCACTATCAGTTCTGCAAGAGGTACGCACACGATGTATTATCAACTAGTTTCATATCTTTTCACGATGTGTTGTGTTCTCGAGCAAGTTCCAGCATATACTTAGAGAGCTGATTTTACCTTGTAGCTCGGTAAAGAGGACGGTACCATAAGACGTAAGCCCCAGGGACCCCAGCAATGAAGTAGATGATTGAGAGAAGCCATATAGTGGGACCTGAATACAAAAAAAAAAATCACATCAGATTAATCATCATGATCAGAGGAACTATGAAACTGATTATTTGGGTAAAACAGTAACCTTCTCCGTTGATCCAAGCTACAGTTACTGCCACAATATTCCACAGGAGACATCCTATTAAACCTGCATAGTTCAATAATTTAGTCTGTTAACTTTTGTCTGGATTTGTTGCAGTGGTCTAAGGCGGGTTTTGCATACCTAACAATGTGGTGAATGCGACGTATTGGATCTTCTGTAAGTGAATTGGAATCTCGTTTGGAATGTCATGATGAATTAGAGGGAAAAACTCCGGCCAATTCTTCACCTCAATGACAACTCCAGCTGCCAAAACAATCGTATTAGTCAAGTTAGCTACAAAAACCCGAAAAGATCATTCGAAGATGTAGAAAACTCATATAGAAGATGATTATCTACATTGGGCTATTGCGTCTTCTCTTCTTTTAAGCTCCTGCATTACAATGAGAAGAGGAAGACCGTTTAATCCAAGTCACATGGAAACTGTAGGTCTCGAGATTAGCTTGGATTTCAACCATGGAGACTCGGTTACCAGAAATTACCTGCTCTTTCCGCTTCAATTCATTCTCCTTAGCCTGAAGTTCCATCTCTTTAGCTCGAAGATCCTTCAAACAGAAAGACCGAAAATGAGATTCGCCGTTTCATCAAACCACCAAACCTGACAGGTAAAGGAAGATATGGTACCTTGCCGGAATCCAAAGGGATGTCAACGGTAACACCACGATCATAAGGTTCCGGTGGAAGCGGTTTGAGATAGGAGTTGCTTGCAGGAGGAACACTTGTATGATTCTACAACATTATAAAATCAAATGGATAAATAAAGACACTACAGAAAGATCAGTCATTCATTCTAGATTCAAGAAACAAAGCTCTTTACCGCGAAAGGATTGATCTCTTCATCAGCAAATGGATTAGGATCGTGTCGCGCCATTTCTGAGATCGTTTGTTTATAGATCAAGAAATTTATTCAAGAAAGAGTTTTTTTTCAGAGATTGGAGGTCGTTGAATTTTGACAGAAATCGAAAATGGGAAGAAAATGGTTTCAACGAATGGGTACTTTGTAGTCAGAGAGAGAACAAATTCAATGGCATTTGTGCGCGCGAGAGAAATCGCAGGCATTTTAGTGGCTCCCAACACACAAGTCACAACTTCGCCTGTAACAGATTATTCTATTGTTAGTTTATCACTTCATTAACTCAATTACATAATGGAGCTTATATTCTATATTCAAGGAACACCCCAAAAATTAATTAATAAATCATTATTACAATGGATTCAGCTTAAACATGTTAACATGATGTTACAACCAAAGCACACACTAAATTTAGTAACTACTCTCTCTTGTACTTAAAAGACAGATCTAACTTTGATTGGTTTGAAAGCTCACAAATAAAAGAACATATCACTGTTACAAATAAAATTCAGAATCAGAGCTTTCAAGTAAAGTTCTAAACTTGACACGCCTTTTAACACTACCCATTCTCTCATAACCAATCCCAATTTTGCTATGCATCAACTTCATAGCTAAATCTGATTTTCCAACTTTCCTCAAAGCATTGATCATAACAGTACGGATCCTTCCAGGTACTTCTCTTCCCCTCTCAGTAATCCCATCAGCTAATTTACAAGCTTCCTTAATCCGACCAGCTTTACACAATGTATTAATCATATCTTCACAAGCTGCATCAAGAATCACACCCATTGGAGCTAACTCATCCAATATCTTACACGCTCTCCCCACTTTTCCCGATAAACAAAGCCCGGTCGATAAAGCCCTGAAGCAAGCTGCGGTTGGTGTAATGCCTTTATCGATCATCATGTCCCATAGCTTTAACGCCTCTTCGTTTCTGTGATCTTTAAACATTCCTGATATGAGTATCGTGTATGTGTAAACCGTTTGATCACAGCCTTCTTCTTCCTCCATTCTCTTAAACAATGCTAACGCTTCATCGACTTTCCCAGACTTTGTAAACGCATCCATCAGTGCGTTGTAACAGTACGAATCCCTAGTGCATCCTTTTTCAGACATCTCTTCGAAAAGCCTCTCAGCTTCATCTACTCGTCCTGCTTTTCCTAAACCATCAATAAGACTAGAATAAAACATCGAATTGATAGCCAACCCGTTAAGCCGGCAAGTCTGGAAATAGTGCAACGCCTCTTCCACTCTCCCATTTTTACACAAACCATTAACAACGGCGGAGTAAGTTACCACGTCTGGTTCAAACCCTTCGCTTATCATTCTCTGTAAAAGCCTTATCGCGTCTTCAACATTTCCGCATTTCGCATAACCATCTATCAAAACAGTGTATATAGCTACATTTGGATTAGACCCTTTACGGATCATATTCTCGAAGACAGCATACCCTTCATTCAACTTCCCTTCCTTGCAAAGTCCTCCAATCACTAAACTATACGCATGAGGCGGGACTTGAATCCCCTTCTCATCCATTTCTTGATACAAAGCCAGACAAGAACTAAAGTCACTATCTGCATAACACGACTGGATCATCGTCATATAAGTAATCTTATCAGCCTCAAGACCTCTCGTCTCCATATCTCTAAGCTTCTCCATAGCTTTCTGTGTCTGCCCTGCTTTACAATAACCCTTGATCATCGTGTTATACGTAACAACATCTGGTTTGACCCTGCCACTTTCCATAACCTCAAAGACACGCTCTGCGGAATCAATGAACGCCGAGCTCACTAATCCGTTCATCAAAAAGTTATAAGTATACAAAGTTGGCTCAATCCCATTCTCTTTCATTTTACGCCAGACCCACAACAATTCCTCCACCATTCCAAGCTTTCCAAAGCTCTTAATCAGAGAATTCGCAGCAGAAACATTCATAGGAAACTCTGTTTTCCTAATTTTACTACACACAAACCTAATTCTCTCCACATCGTCCCCCAGAGCCAAAACATCAACCAAAGAGACATAACACTCAAGCTTATGCACATACTTCTTCTGCTTACCAGCCCAACAAAAGAACCTCCAAGCAATACCGGGTTTATCACGAATCTCATCGGATTTCAACACAAACGTAACAAAATTGGGAGATAGTTTAATAAGGAACTTACGACAGAAACCGTCTAGATTCGATTCCATTGAAGCCGAACCATCTAAAAGGTTGAGAATTTGGCTTACCCATGGAGATGGCTGGAGATTTCGATTCAATTTCACCAAATCGGAGACATCGTTAAAGGGCTCTATCCATTCGGGAGGAGGAAGTGAACTGCTACTGAACACACATCTAACACTCGTTCCCGAGCTCGACAGAGGCAAACACTCTGACTCTTCCGACAAAAAACCGCCATTTTTGTACGGAGATAAGCATTTTGAAGAACTACGCGGACGATTCAGGAGCGCTAGAGAAAAGGGCTTCCCGGGAAATCTTCGCATCGGTAAATTACTCAGGCTGCCGGCGAGACAACGACATGGATCGTGTATATAGTACTCGAACACTTGTTTTGGTTTTAAAAGAATCTGGAGTAAGGAGTATCAAATGGTCCCATGGTCTAGCGGTTAGGACATTAGACTCTGAATCTAGTAACCCGAGTTCAAGTCTCGGTGGGACCTCTTTTTTTATCAATTGCAAAACATTTTTTCCTCACAAAGTTATGATTTTTTTTTTTAACTTTTGAACATGACAAGCACAGATTGTGAGGCACAGACCTAAAACATTTACATATGCTTTATGAATTGGTGAAGCTATAAATCTCCCAATGCTTACGAAGAAATGCAACCAGAAGTCATTTTTTCTGACCAAAAACAGTTCTTGAAAACAATCACAAGCCATGTCTTAAGCCTTTGGTTTCTCTCCAAAGAATCTCGGAAGCTGAACAAGCGAGTTCACTCGAGTTACGCCATCTAGTCCGGACCAGTTCTGTCCTCCTTCCGTTGTTTTCTCCTTCTCTGTCTCATCAGTCTCTGCATTCAGATTAGCGTAACTGTTGTTTTCTTGATCAGTTGATGATGATCTGACTGTGACGTTTCTCTGAAGACACGGTTCTGTTCTCTGGGTTTCGTCTGATTCTACTGCGTTTGTTGCTGAAGAGATGCTTTGTTCTTCGTAATCTGATGAATCTGAGTCCATTTTCCCGTCTAGAAACAAACACACCACCGCACAATCGTCCATTTTCGAGGTTGGGTACTTTAGTTTCCATTCGCGTGCAGCTGAATCCACCACGAGTCTTGCCGCTGATGCCCGGCTTGAAGCTGATGCTACGACTTCAACCACTTCTTCATTGCTTAGCACATCCCAGACCTATCAAAACAAAGCTTGGAATCATCAGTAAAAGCAATTCATCTCGAAAATACTGATAATGCTTAGAGGATACTTTAAAAGTTCAGTGCTTTACTCCATCTGAGGCCAAGACAATGAACTGATCTCTATCTGTAAGAACACGATGAGAGAACTCAGGTATCGAAATCACACCGTAGTCTTTCAGACAGAAATCACCAAATGCCCTAGCCATGGCTAATCCAGGAGCATTATCAAATGGTAGCCAGACTCGTGACACCTCTGGCTCATCTTCCAGCGCAAAGACCCGGCCTTTACACTGTTTGATTCTCTCTGCTTCACCTATTAGAACCAAAACAGTAACACCATTTCAAAAATCAGACAAAATGAAGATAAAAGTATACAAGCAAATATAGCAAGATATCGTTAAAGCATAATACTTGGTAAGTCAGGCTTCAAGTCAACTGTTAGCTGAACTGCCACCATTGAATCGTTGCTGTCTTTAGATCCAAGTATTGCCCGAGAATCTCCGATGTTTCCCATGAATAGATTTGACCCCTGTAACAATAAAAACACATCAAAACTGATGCTTGAAACACAGCAGAAATCCTGAAGAAAATCGATCTTGAAGCGGAAAAAGAAGAGATCTTTTGTTGTCAAGATTACCTGTTTAATGACTGTAACAGCAGTGCTGCCACTGCAGAAGCATTCCAGATTAGGATGGGATCGCAGTTCCTTATCCATAGCATTGAATGATTTCAAGAAAGCTTCTTCCCATAAGTAATTCGATTTATTTTCCTCACTAGATTCTTCCTTATCAGCTTCTTGACTATCGGATTTGCTTGTGTGAGTTATCGTGGATCCGTTTTGCTTCGACTGAATCGAATTCTGGAAAGACAGTAACTTTACAGGCAATGATTCTCTCACTTTACGAGCAACAAGATGACCATGAGGACCATGTCCATCAAAAACACCGCAAAATGTCACATCTTTCGACAGAAAATCCTACAAAAAAAAACACCAAATCATGCTTATTAAGGATACACAAAGCTCTAATAAACATCATT